AGATAGGTACTGTAATTATCCCTGTTTCACAGACAAGGAAACTGAGACCTAGCCAGGGGAAGTAGTAGGTGGCAGAGCTGGATGTGCAAACCCCAGCAGTCTGTCTCCTGAGTCTGGGCTTGTAACTACTGCCCCATCGGCCCTCTCAACTTGAACAGATGTTCTAAAAATTAGACGAGGACAATGGTGACTTAATCTTGGATGCGGGGTATGATCTGAAGCCAATTCCTTTGTCAGAATTCTTGCACGCATCTACAGGCCAAATGCACCAACTTGCAGGCTGCAGTTCTATGCTGGGAGAAGTGGGACCTTCCTCTGATTAACCACTTGGCTCTGGATCAGCCACTTTTTCTATCCTGGGTCTCAGTTTTCTCACTTAAAAAATGAGAGGTTTGGTTAGTTGTTTTCTAAGTGCTGTTTGAACTCCATAATTTCTTCCTTATATATTCAAAAATTAGGATATTTTTACTAAAATTCAAATTTCTGGCATCACATCAGAAAATCCGATGGCAGGGACTTATATGCCTGCGTGGCAGCAGGCAGCCGGAGCAGAGCTCTGGCCGGCCCTGTAGATGGTCAGCGTGCCCGCTAGTTGGCCCAGGTCCCCATCACTTCCTATGGTCTGGCTCTTGGCCTGCGCTGCTCATTGATCCCCTTGCCTCAACCCCAAGGCCACTTGCGGCCTCAGCTTTATGGAATCAAACAAGGGTTAGTGAGGAAAGTTTGCAGAAAGCAGACGTGGCCTGGTAGAGGGAGAAATTCATAAGGCTCGAAAACTGTTTAGACATTGAAGAGGTTTCCCTGAGAGGGGAAGCTTTCTCTTGCATCCAGGTGGAAATTAGACGTGAATGGTGCATGCTTGCCTGATGCAGGATTCGTGCAACAGGTTCTGATGGGTGATGTCTGAAGGGCCTTTCCAAGCCTGAAGAGCCTCCGGTTCCACTTCATTTTTCTCTTAAGATGCATCCAGAAAGCTACCGTTTATGTTTGGCCTTAATCCCCCAGGCCACCACACTCTCTCCCGCCCCTCTTTGTTTTTGTGTGTTGTTTGGCACTAAGCAGTATCTCTTCACCTGTCTGTCTGCTGGCAGCCAGATAGCCAACAGCCAGGAACTCCAGACTCTGTTATTAAAAGCCATACTTCAGTGTCAGTGTGCAATAACGTTATTGGCAGTGTAACTTAATATGGCCTGGGCATTTCAAGGAACTGTGTGCCTTGTTTACTCATAGAAATACATGTCTGGGGATTTGAAAGGCATCCTGTCTCCTACCTTCTAATCTTTAGTAAGAATTCCATCCTCGTCTCTCTTGATTCCTCTATTCTTAAGACTCCCTTGAGGTCTCAAAAAGGAAGGAATTTCAGGACCATGAAAACTGGAAAGGTTTAGAGAGAACCTGGGACTTTGTAACTCACCCTTTTAGTTTTTTAGGAGGAAAGAGTATGCCTTTGGTGCCAGGTTAATTTGTTTGGAAACCAGTCTCAACTTTGTAAAAGAAGGAGCCTAACCATTATTGTTTCACTTCCGGACATAAAACTCAGTATATAAATAATGTGGTATTTTGCTAGTCCCTGAAAGTCTTCAGTGTATCCCCATAAGAGATACTTGATCTTGCATATACTCTAAGGAGGATCTTAGCTGAATAATGACTGAAGTGGTGCTGGAATTCTGTGTATATGATCATGTAAATTCAGGGAGGCTAAATTTGAATTAAAATGAACCTCAAATCCTATTCAGGTTATCGCAGTTCTTAGGGTTTTTATTGGTAATATAAAACTCAGAGAAATTCTGGTGGTTCTAGATGAAAACATTGTCTGTAGGTATAATTTTCTTTATTTTAAAATTTCAGGGATTAATCACTTGGCAGTTTAAAATATGATAGACTAAGTGTGCTTTATAGATTGAAGTCAAAATATTAATGATTAGGATTAGATCTAGGTCTTTTTTCCATATAAAGAGGAAAATTAAATATTTTTACTGCTTCAAAAGCATTGGTTATAAAATTATTCCTATAAGGTTTATTTTTAAAATATCTTGTATATTCTATAATATTGTGATGGTTAGAAAATATTTTTTAGTAGAAAGAAGCATCATTTATCAAAAAATTGAAGCTTATGTTTTGGATTGTCTGAACATTTCATAATAGAGAGTAAAAAAAAGAATTAGTTGTATTTTTAGATGCAATATATGGCTTATTCATGTCCTTTCCAGGCAAAGATATACAGTGAGTACATATATTAGGTAAAATCCAGGAAATGTTTTGTTTCTTAACCAATCAGCCTGATATCTCTCCATCGTAGATGGTGTTCTATACATACAGTCTACTCAAGCACTATTGAAAAGGCAGAGATTTGAGGTTTTTCAGAGGTGTTGACAGTATGCATACGCAATGCCCTTTTCCCCCTTAAATCTGTGGTCATCACTGTCTACAGAAGATATTGTCCGGCCATTCTGTAGCCATGAACTGACTACACCCTCATCAGTAATGTAATTCAAATGATCCAAAGAATAGTGGGAGAGAAAAGATGTTTCCCCCTTTATTTATCAAGAAGATGCTTGGAATATTCTTCCTCCCAGATACCCACAGGACTGGCTGCCTCCGCCTCCCTCAGGTCCCTTCTCTATATGACCTCATCACTAAGGCACTCCCTGGCTACTCTACTGACAACAGCAGCGTCCCTCCCCCACATCCCACCCCCAGTGCACCATACCCCTCTCCCTGCTTCATAAAATGTGTTATCCCATCAGAATGTAAGCTCCACAAGCAGCAAAGCTTTTAGACATTATTTTTATTGTTGTTCATGGATAAAGTTCCCAAAGCCTAGACAAGTCCCTGGTGCGTGGAATGCGCTCAGTAAATATTTATTGTTAAGATCTGTTAAATAATCTGGAGAATGGAAAGATGGACTCTGTTAATATTAGTCTCTAATTTCATGAAAAAAAGTATTCTATGACATTAAAAAATTTTTTTTCTTAGCTTTTGACAAGGAAATTCCTAAGTTGAGTCTCCCATTAAAATGTTTAGTCTTCTTGTAGAATGTGGCATGAAGTGGGGGCCTGGTCCATGTTCATGGTCTAAGAGGAAAAAGATGTATTAAGTAACAAGGAGAAGGATCCAGAGTGTCAAAAGTTATAAACAAATACAATTCTGTGCATGTGTTTAGGGTCCTGCTGCTTAGATAGATAAATATATCTACACAGAGATGTATCTCATATATGTGTGCCTTTTTAAATGAAAGAAATATACCTCAGAAAATATACAAACACTTAAAAAGAGGACGATAATAACCATCAATAACTCTACAATATTATTTTTCATTTTGTGGATACATGGTTACTTTTACCAAATCTGGAATGTTACATGTATGTTTAATAGCTTTTTAAAATGTAAGGTTATATTTTGACATTTTCTTGATGCTTCCATGACATTTCTATGATGTTTCCACTTTTCCTCTACATAGACAATGCTGCTGCACCTACATCCTTATGTACCTAAAAATGGGTGCATCTTAAGTCAAGTTCCCGAATAGGGCCCTCGTTAGTCAAAGGCTCCTCATGCGTGGCTGCAGAGCAGGTTTTAGCATAGCCCATTTAGTGAGGTCTTCACCTCTGTGCTCACTCAGTAGTGTGGCGCTCCTTTAAAGGAGAAAGGACAGCTGGCAGTCGGGTACTGCCGATGGTGCTGCTGCAGTCTTAGCACAGTTTTTCTGCATCACTTTGCTCCAAGGTAAACTAGTTTGGCAGCTGGGGCAGAACTTGGAGAATCAGAAGAAACGAAGCCTCAGCGATAGAAGCATCAGAATTACAACCAGTGAAACCCCCACCTTTCCCTTGCACCGAGTCGTCTGTGGTTTAAGTCTCGGGATGTTAAATGCAAATTGAACCGGGAGTTAGGAAACCTGGGTTTTGGTTGTGGTTCTACCACAAATTGGCCTTACCGTTGGCAAGTCACTTCCCCCACTGGATCTTGGTTTATATCTGCGACTTCCCACTCTTGCTTCACATTAGAACCAGGGACTTAAAACTTACAGATGCCCAAAGATTCTGATGGAATTGGTCGAGTGTTGGGAGGGGACACTTCAGATGATTCAATGTTCAGCCAGAGTTGACAGCCACCACACTGGATGAATCTAAAGCCTTCCTCAGGCTCTTAGATTCCAGGATTCTTTAAGTATTTAAAGAAATACTTAAAACTATTCCTTTGATATCAAAATCCTACATGAAAAATTGTTAATATATTAACTCTAGTGGTTAAAACTATGGTGGTATGTTCAGTTAACTATTACCTCAAGACATGAATTAGTGATTCGCTAATAATAAACAGGTTTAGAGACCAGCAAGAAGGCAAATGGCAAATGCAGCAAGTACAGGGAAGCATACACACTCGTGTAAAACAGTCAAAAAGAGTACAGCAATGTGTCAGAAATGATTAGGATCGTTTCTCTTCCTTCTAATATTATAGAACATATTATATGTTTGAAGTCATTTGGTTGGTGAGAGTGAGATGCCACCCATTCTGGGATGTGAGCAGAGTGGGGCAAGGGGCTGCCCAGAACTGGGGGTTTTGCTGGGCAGAGAGGACCAGGGAATCTCAAGAAGCAAGTGATTCGCCTAAGTCTTTGAGTCTCCACCTGTGAAATGAGCCTCACACGTTATCCATCAGAGCTGCTGTGGACACTTGCACTAAATAATGCAGCAAAGGGGAAACTTTGAGCCGTTAATAAATGATTAGCCATTTAAATTAAGTTCAATGAATTTTTATTGCTATGTTCATTATCTTGATTGTAGGCTCTGGACATAAGAGGTAGAGATACCCTGGTATTTTTACCAAGTAGGAAGTACCAAGTACCCCCTTCCACTTATCTGGGGGTTTCATCAACCCAGTTTGGGAGGCAGTATAGGGTGGTGGTGAAAAAGATGATTCTAGTACACAACTGATCTGCGTCTGAACCCGGAGAGAGTCACCTCCCTGGGCTATCAAAAGAAATATATTTGCTCCCAGCCAGCGTGACTCAGTGGTTGAGCATCGAGCTATGAACCAGGAGGTCATGGTTTGATTCCAGGTTAGGGCACGAGCCCGGATTTTGGTCTCAATCCCCAGTGTGTGCAGGAGGCAGATCAATGATTCTCTCCCATCAATGATGTTTCTCTCTCTCTCTCTCTCTCTCTCTCTCTCTCTCTCTCTTCTCTCTCCTTCCTCTCTGAAATCAATGAAAATATATTTTGAAAAAGAAATATATTTGCAATCGCACTACATCTTAACACCTATATTATCACCAGCTGAGTCCCAGCTACCCTGACCTCTGCTGGACTGCTGGGCTCCTGTAGTGAGTAGGGTGATGAATTTAATACATATGCCTGGAACAAAGAGGTGATTTTCAGAAAGGATGTCTTAGCTTATGCAAAAAGGTAGAGGCTTTCCCTCAGTCCTCTCCCAGGGGAAGAGAAGGTAATGGAGAAACAGCTCAGTGGCTCTTTAGAATGGCGAATGTACCCTCACATGGCAGCTGCTGAGAGACTGCCCAGCTGTCATCTACTCACACCACTTGAAGTTCTTCCGCAGGGATGCTCAGGCCCTGGTCGCAGGGGAACTGGTGTCCAACTGCCGTGCAGCCCGAAGCTCATGAACACCAAGGCACAGTCTGACTTTGTCCATCCCTGAGTTGCTAGACAACAAGGCCCTGGGAGGTGGAGAGGGTTATGTCACACCCATTTGCCTTTGAACCCTGCTGCCCCGGTGCTGTTGGAAATTGAACACAAAAAGTTTTCGATGATCCTGGGTTCCTGGTCTGTCCTTACTCCCAGATAACCTCCTTCCTGGTGGAACCTGAGCAGCAGTTTTTGTCCTCCAGTAAGTACCCGGGGATTGCCGAAATACCCAAATAGCCTTTTACCTCTGAACCAGTCGCTTTCCGGTGGCTTCAAAGCATCCTGCCCTGAAAATGAGCAGCTGAGGAGTCCTCAAAGACCTGAAGAGGAAATTGCAGAATGTTCTCACTGTGCGGTGCCTTTTAGTCCTGGTCCTTGGTCTCTCAAATTCTGGCAACTCTGGTAGCCTTAAACTCCATTTTTCCCCTTCCCAACCCAGTTAGACTGCAACAAGTCTCGGCTGTTGCTTTCTGTTTGGTCACTATGGGTTGAGACCTAAATTGGCAAATTACCTGAGGCAAAAAAAAAAAAAAAAAAAAAAAAGCAGCAAGCAGCAAATGTAGTAAGTGTATTTTTCTCCTTTCTAGGATGTTGGCCCCTCATGTCCTATTGCATTGATTACGGTCATGATCTTTAAATAGCTATTTGTTTGATTTTTTTTCTTCTTAACCCACCTTTTATTGTTGTTGTTAATGGGAGGGCTATTCTGTTACACTCTGCTCCAGCACAGGTAGAAGAAGAAATCGCCCTGTTTATTTCTGCCTATGCAATTCTGTTCCTAGGTTCACCCTAGTATTGATGATGCACCAGTTCATGATCTAAGAACCCTTGTGTAGCTGACAATGGACATGGTATTTGTTGAACTAGAAAAAATAAATGAAGAAAACAAAAGCATGATCATGGCAACTAGGTTATGTAAGAATGAACGCAGTTGGAAGAACTATGGAGAAGTATGACCTACCCCAACAGTTGTAACCAAATGTCCTCTCCGGGTCTGAAGCAGGCGCAAGTCAAGAGCACCACAGAGCTGTGAGCTATTTTGGAGACCATTTCACACCATTCCTCCCGGAATGATATGATAGAGAGGGAAGTGCAACAACTTCACTGAGCGAGGAGTGCTTCCGAGATTATCAGAGGGGAAGAAGAACTGGAACAAGTTAACACCGGGTGAACCAGGCTGGCTGTGACAGAAAACGTAACTGGTGTGCTGGGATGTGTCACAGGACACCCAGGAGATCGGAATGAAAGAAATTAGCTGGCCACTGTCTACCTTGGTCTCACCCCAGTGTAATGGCATTTTAATGATTCGTCAGAAGAAAAATGTGTGTGACTGTGTGTGTGTGTGTGTGTGTGTGTGTGTGTGTGTGACATTTGAATGGATGTTAAAATGGTTTGATCTTGTCTAGTTTTCTTGGCAATCCTACTCATATGGAAAGGATGGTAACACACTATCCAGATAAAATCCCCTTTCCTGGAGTCCAAGTGGCACGGGGTTATTGTCAGATGATGTAGCAGACCTCATGCTCACTGGCATATGTCCTCATCACCGGAGCACCATTATGTTCAAAAGGAAACTAACATTTGTCCAGAATTCACCATGGGTCAGGCATTGTGTTAGCCGCCACATCATTATTTGGACAGGCTGCATTGTTTAGTAGTTAAAGCCAGGCTAGACCCAGACCCAGCAGACACAGATCTCAGCTCTGCCTCGTTATAGTAAGTTAACCAACCTCCCTGCTTCAGTTTCCTTGTATGTAAAACGGCAACAATAATAATAATAATAATAGGACCTATTTAGGGGGTTCTTGTGAGATTTAAATGGATTAATACGCATAAAGCACTTACCTATAAAGTAAGCACTATAAAAGCATTTGCTAATAAGAAAGCAGAGTAACACATGGTACTAGGATTCACGTCTATTTTAACCAAAAGCCTATGTTTCCCCCCCCCATAATCTAGTGCTTCTACATGCTAACTAATATCATTATGCCGTACAGATCACATTAAATTGATGTCACCTTTGATTTCTAAGAATAGTGAATGCTAAGATAGAGAAAATATCTATTTTTATTGCGTTTATATTTTTTCCCATTTGGGCATTGGCTGTAGCATCTTTTAACCTTTGATATATTTTAGCCTGAAAGACTAGACATTAAAATATTGTACTCTTGGATCATACTTAATATATTTGTCTCTCTTTGACATAGTACTTTTCTCTACTTGATTTCATTTATTCTGGTTTTTGTGGGGTTTTTTTAAATCCTCACCTGAGGATATTGTTTTCCACTGATTTATTTTTTATTTATTTATTTATTATTATTTTTTTTAGAGAGTGTGGAAGTAGTGGGGTGTGGGGGGAGAGAGAGAAACATCAATGTAAGAGAGATACATTGATTGGTTGCCTCCTGCATGCAGCTGGGGCTGGGGATCAACCTGCAACCCAGGTACATGCCCTTGACCAGGAATCAAACCCGAGACTCTTGGGTGCATGGACCGATGCTCTAACCATGGAATCACACCAGCCAGGGAGATTTTATTTATTCTTACAATATAGCATTTCCTAGGTGAAAAAGATTCTCGTATCCCAGCCTACAGATGAAGGAGTTGAAGCTCACAGAGTTTGAGTTCTAGCCAAAGTAGGACTCAAATTCATATGTTTTCACTCTTAAGCCAAGTGTTTGTCACTGTGTTCGCATAGTTCCTTAGCAGTTGTGACTTGAGCACTTACCATGCACAGGTGTATTAGGCCCCAGCTATACAAAGACGAGATGCCACCTTTTTCAGTACAGGTGACCATGTAGCAGACAAGAAGGGTCCAGTGGATGTGTGATATTATTAGTGTGAACAGAGTGCTATAGGGACATCCAGGAATAGCCTCGAGATCTGAGGGAGGCTATGCAGAGGAGGTGACATTTTACAATAAGTAGAGTTGTGTGAAAGGCAGAAGATGAGAGCAACTTTACATAGAGGAAACCATTTATTTGATTGTTGAGGGAAGGCGAGTGGGCCAAAGTGACAAGCCAAGGGGTCGTATGGTGAGTGAGACTAAAACACAGTTTGAAGCAGGAAAGGTGCTGAGGAAGCTGGACATTTCCTATAAGTGATAGGAAATCGTGGGAGGTTTTGTGGCAAACATTGTCAGAGTTCTGTTTTAGAAAACCATTGTGCTAGCGTACCGAAGTGTGTGTATAAGAGACATTGGTTTTATTTTTTATATTTTTTTCAGAGGGAAGAAAGACTTTATTTTAGTAGATAAAGAAGCCATTAAACACTGGAATTGTCTTTGGCTCTTGGTCAGAGAAGGCTTCATGAAAATAGCAAACCTTAAAAAGGAAATTAAGGCAGAGAGTTTGCTGAGAGGACAAAACCACAAAAGCAATATTTAGATACTTATCTGCAGAGCGTAGCTGCTGGACTGGGATTTGGTAAAATCCCACCTCAAGGTTGTTGTTTTTTTATTTTTATTGATTAAGGTATTACATATGTGTCCTTACCCTCCCCATTGCCCCCCCCCATCCTTCCCACTCATGCCCTCAACCCCTGGTGTCTGTGTCCATTGGTTAGGCTTATATGCATGCATACAAGTCCTTTGATTGATCCTCCCCCCCTTACCCCCACCCTCCCCTACCTTCCCTCTGAGGTTTGATGGTCTGATGGATGCTTCCCTGTCTCTGGATCTGCTTTTGTTCATCAGTTTATGTTGTTCATTATATTCCACAAATGAGTGAGATCATGTGATACACTTTTCGAAAGAGGACATAAGGAAGGCCAAGAGACATATGAAAACATGCTCCAAGTCACTAATTATCTGAGAGATGCAAATCAAAATGACAATGTGGTATCATCTCACACCTGTCAGAATGGCTATTGTCAACAAATTAACAAATGACAAGTGCTGGTGAGGATGCAGAGAAAAAGGAACCCCCATGCATTGCTGGTGGGAATGCAGACTGATGCAGCCACTATGGAGAACAGTATGGAGTTTCCTCAAAAAACTAAAAATGGAACCCCTATTTGACCCAGTGATCCCACTTCTAGGAATATATCCCAAGAAACTAGAAACATCAATAAGAAAGGATATATGCACCCTTATGTTCATAGCAGCACAATTTACAATAGCTAAGATTTGGAAACAGCCTAAGTGCCCATCAGCAGATGAGTGGATTAAAAAACTGTGGTACATCTACACAATGGAATACTACGCTGCAGCAAAAAAAAGGATTTCTTACCATTTGCAACAGCATGGATAGCACTATAGAGCATTATGCTAAGCAAAATAAGCCAGTCAGAAAAAGAGACATTGGTTTTAGAAAATGTTAATTATGAGGCTGATAACAATAGTCTAGACTCGAGAGAGTTCAAAATAATTTCTAGAAACTGGTGTGTGAATGTAAGGGTGGAGTTAAAGTGACATATTTGTAAT